TGAGACAGCGTGAGCAGGGGAGGGGCAGAGAGGGAAGGAGACACAGAATCCAAAGCACACTCCAGGCTCTGAGCTCTCAGCACAGAGCCCAGTTCAGGGCTTGAACCCACAAACTGCAAGATCATGGCCTGAGCTGAAGTCACACACTTAACCAACTGAGGCATCCAGGAACCCCAGAGGAGACAGTTTTATTATAGCATTTTAGTTTGGAGAAGGATTGCTTTGAATAAGTGTTCAAGATTTAAGAAGAATGAATATCTAGGTATAATGAAGGGATTTGTCCATTTTATAGCAAGCACTAGCAAAGGGCATATTTAGAGGATTAAAGCATGGAGGTCAAAGAGTGATTTAGTAAATGAAAGTGAAGGTGGTGGTTGTATACCACTTAAGGAATCTTACTCCCGGCTTTAAAGAAAGTCAGTCAGTAAATTGGAGAATCTGGAGAAAGACTGGTGTGTTCTAATGGAGAGATGTGAGTTTTGGTACCAGCCTCCTTTTTTCTCATGTGTAAAATGAGGAGGTCAAACTTGGTAATTAGTAGCCACCATTTTCGCCACACTTGCCATAAACCAGGCTTTTATGGGCATGATTTCATTTAACCTCCCTTAGAAGAGCCCTATGAACGAGGGACCATTATTATCCCCAATTTACAGACCAGGAGGCTGAGGCTCTTAAGAGATTATGTAACTTGGTCTAATGTGGTCCATGTCCAAAGCCCATATAGTTTCATCCTGTGGGTCTGTCTTTAAGTGGCCTCCTGGCTCTAGTAGTCAATGATTCTGAATGAGGGACATTCGAAAATGTTGTGATTTGACTTGTCTTTTAAGAATGGGAGATGAAATCTAATCTTCTTGTGTGTGAAAGGAAAAGGAAAATGGAGACAGAGTGGATGTGAGTTATGATACTGATGACCTGTCTTTCCCCCTAACCGTACTGGGCTAGAATCACTATAGAAAGTGGGCAAAAATATACTAAAGGTAATTTCCATGCAGATCTGATGACAACCACAGCCAATTTCATTTGTCTCTGACCTTTGGATAATCTGAATATTTTGTTCTCCACCCCTCCCCCTACTTCGGGAAGGCTGCTAAAGCAATTTGCAAGGATACTGTGGAGGCTTTTATTTAGAGGGGATAGGAATCCGCTTCAAATTTTTTTAGTGTTTAGTTTTTTTGAGAGAGAAACAGAGTGTGAGCAGGAAAGAGGTAGAGAGAGAGGGAGACAGAATCCGAAGCAGGTTCTAGGCTCTGAGCGGTCAGCACGGAGCCCAACATGAGGCATGAACCCACAAACCACAAGATCATGACCTGAGCCAAAGTCTGACGCTTAACCAATTGAGCCACCCAGGTGCCCTGAGAGTTCTTTTTATATGAGTAGAGAAAAACACACGAAAGCCTTCATTTTTGGTGGTATAGGCAGAAAGAAATGGTGGCCTCTGCCATGTTTCTGACAATCAAATAGAGAATTTTGGAGGTGTCGACACCCATGCTTGAAGCTGTAGACGACCCCAGGCAGATATTTTACATTTAAGAAATTAAGCTAAGTTAGACATAATCTAGCACTACAGGAAATTAATAATTGAGTTAAATATGTGGAAAAAAACAGTGTAAAACATCCATAGGTTGTGGGGGGAGAGGAATGTTTTTTGTTTGTTTTAAAGGTTATCTATTTATTAATGTTTATTTATTTTTGAGAGGGAGAGGGGCACCGAGAGAGAGAGACACAGAATTCAAAGCAGGCTCCAGGCTCCAAGCCTGACGCAGGGCTCGAACCCATGAACTGTGAAATCATAACCTGACCTGAAGGCAGATGCTTAATCGATTGCACCACCCAGGTGCCCCACCAGGAGTTCACTTTTAAAAGGACAAAGAAGGAAATTAGTAAGAGACACTGAAGTCAGGTTCCATTAAAACCCTGCTGGGATTTCGATTTGGACTGTATCGACTTTGTAGATTAATTTGGGAAGAATCAAGTCTTCACAAGACTACCTGTTTCCATTCAGATGCATGGGAGATCTTTCTGCTTGTTTCGTTTTTTCAGTTCATATAAAAGCCTGTACAATATGCCGGGATGAAAAGAAATCGTTATTTGAAAAAGATAAAAGAATCCTTTCTTGAAAGATATCATTTAGATCTAGCTACTACGCTGCTGACCATAACCAAGAGTAGCTTGGGATATTCTTTATGTTCACCGTAAGATCATCTCCTGTCTAGGTTTCTTGATTTTACCAGTTGTTAGAGACACACCACTGAAGACAGTATTTGGCCTGGTTACGGGGCCTGAAAAAAATAAGGCCTTGCTAATGACAAAACATAACATAACTTGTCTATGCAAATATTATGATAAAGTCCTGCTGCGTGTAGTTGGACCACAGGAGGAAGTTATTATTTTACAAACCTGTGAAGTATGTTTAACACGCAAAGGCTTGTTACACAGTCCCTGAAGAACAGTTGTTTTCGGCCGTTCCATAAATAACTAATGCCAGGAGCAGCTTGGCTATCTCTTTCAGCTTCTTGTTACAGGAGAGTAAAATGAGTAAGGTCTAGACATCGGTACCTGCTAAGAGAGCTGCCACATTCAATTCCATTTGGCTTCAAACGGTCTAATTTTCATGCTTTTAGTGCTTTTGATGTTGTATTTTGAATCTGTCAGTCTCACTGTGTTTTCCATTTCCATATGTTTATCTCTTCTGTTTCTAATTGGATTGGTAGTTCTGGGGAGTACTTACTACCCAGGAAACCTCATGTAGTCGCAAAGGCAGTAGCCCAGGAGGCATGAGAACCATGGTTAGGAAATCCAGGCTCTATTACTAGTTCCTTGTGTGACTGGACAAGTCATTTAACCTGCGTCTATTTCTCTACCTGTAAAATAGGGGTAATAATCCCCCGTCTTCCCAGCTAGTAAACAATTGTGCAAATGTTCTCTCTAAAATGTCAGGCAGCTGGTGGCGGTAGGGCAGGGAGGGGGTGGTGGTAGTGGTGGTGGTGGTGGAATGTTTTGTTCCTGGGTAGGAATGCTTGAGGGTTTCCGATGACAAGAAATTAAACAAGGTTTGTTTAGACCTTGAAGAAGTGAGAAAGGAAAGCTAGAAATAGTATGGACACACTTGATTTCCTTTTTGGAGATGTAGCTCTTTTTCCGGCCTCATCCCGGGTGTGGTTAACTGCAGAAGGGGAAATCTGGTTGGTATGTGATCAAGGTAGTCAGGACTGTCTGCATTAATGAATCGCTTAAGTGATAAAGGTCTTGAAACAGTCAAGTAGTTTCTTGGTATGATAAATATATTTATATCCATACTATACACATATGCATATGCATAGGTATGTATGTATACAAATTCATATATACCAATAAAACCTGATAGCTTCAGGCTCTTTCCTTGTTACCTTGTAAAGTTGGAGGAACTTCCGTAAACTGAGGACACACTGTTCAGAGATTACCTAGTTGAAGAGGGCTGAGCTAAGTGATTGATAGTGAAGGAAATGGACCAAGTACTCTTTTTTTTTTTAAATGTTTTATTTATTTTTAGGAGAGAGAGAGAGAGAGACAGCGTGAGCAGGGGAGGGTCAGAGAGAGAGGGAGACACAGACTCTGAAATGGGCTCCAGGCTCTGAGCTGGCAGTCAGCACAGAGCCCGACGCGGGGCTCGAACCCACGAACCGCGAGATCATGACCCAAGCGAAAGTCGGCCACTCAACCGACTAAGCCACCCAGGCGCCCCCCAAGTACTCTTTAATTATAAGTTCTTTTTCTTCTTGGTCCAACAGATTGATTTATGTGCTATACTGGGTCTGTCCTGTCTCTGTGTTTTAATTTCATGACTAGACACTAAATTTGTTGATGGCAGGGATTATCATTCCTTACATTTCATTTGTGTTAATCCTGCTATGGATGACAGTGCTCCTTACACTGCAGGCACCCAGTGAATTATATAGCTGACAAATTATGACTTATTTCTGGTATTACAACAAGATCTCATAAAATAAACACGAGAAACTCGTTTGAAGTCCAGAACTTTCTAGGTCAGTCTCGAAAAAGGAAGTTCATGACTGCCACAGTAATATTTGTAGGCATATTATATGTAAGTGGGTGTGCCTGTTGGAAATTGGATGAGTAATCCCACTTCAGAATAAGTATGTGGACCCCCAACCACCATGGTGTGACCTGGGATGTTTATTTAAAAATGAAATTTTTCAGCCCCACTCAGATCCTGAACAGATTATCAGGAGGTTGTAGCTCCAGGCGTCCATACTTTAACAAGCACTCAAGATGATCTGGATGCATGGTAAAGTTCAAGAATGAGTCTAGCCTGTAGGGTGACACACACGCGTAGTTCTACGGGAAGATGGGAAGTAGCAAGTGAAATGAAATGTCCATTGCTGGCAGGAAGAGGAAGTTAGTCCTCCATTATGCATCAGGGAGATGCATATGGAAGAAGATTGGTGCTTTTTACCTCTTTTTACTTCTTCTGGTGATATATTCTTGGCAGTTTGTCATGGCCCCTTTACAGTTATGGTCTGTCCCTTTTGCAGTCCTGAGACAGTTCATCAGAATTCTATTTTTAACAGCAATTTCTTGAATCTCTAGGGAACGGTCTTTGTAGGACTGGCTCATGAACTGCGATCATGGCCGGTGACTTTTCCTTATCAGTTGTGGGCTCTTTTGCCATCACACCACGGTGGAAAGGAAAGGCATAAAGTGAACCCCCCTCCCCCGCATGCTTGTGGTATTTCATAAGTGGGAGGGAGCGGGGGTCTTAACGCAGTGAGAAGCGAGGGGAAAGGAACCAGGGGCATTGGCTCAGGCTTGGAGGAGCAGGACGCCTTCAATCAAAGAATAGGATCTCTCTCTGAAGAAAGCGAAGCCAGGTCCAAAGATGAGTATCTTTAAAGGGCACCTGGAAGATGACCCGAGGGGAACTTTCATCCCGGGTCTGAGTCCTAGGAAGCGAGCACAGGTGCGGGCGTAGGCGCGTCCCAGAGCTCGCTGAAATCAGATAGGCTCCAGGGCCTTCCGAAAACACACTTGATAAAGCGGCCAGCCGGCTCGCCCGGCGGCTCGGAAGCCAGAGCGAGAGGCTGGGGCGAGCCAGCAGGGAGCCGTTAGGCGACACTGCTCGCCCGCAGCGCCCCGCCCTCGTCAAGGGAAGCCCGCTCGGCCCCGCCCCTTCGGCTGACGTCCGGGGCGAGCGGAGGCGGGAGCGTGGGTGGGCCGAGACGTCGGCCGCCTGCGATTCGGCCTGCTCAGCCACACCACCGCGCGCCCCCGCTCCGCCCGCCCCTCCGGGCGCGTCTTTTCCGGGCTCGCGCCGCGCCGCGCCTCGTCCCGCCTCCGCCGGCCGTCCGGGTGCGCGCGCGCCGCTGCGGCTTTTTCCCTGGCCTCCGTGGCGCGCCCCTCCTTGCCCCAGCACTAGCGGGCACGCGGTTTTTCCACAGGCTTCCCGGGTGCCAGGCGCCGGCCGGCTGCGAAGACGCCGTGTGGACCGCGTCTCCGGTGAGTATAGCCCCGGCTGCTGGGGTCGGGGTCGGGGTCCCAGCACCCGCGGCGCCGCCGTCCCGCACCTGAGCCCCGCGGAGGTGGAGGGGACGTCCCGGTTCCCGGAATGGGCTCGCTTTCTTTGGGAGCCCGGCTGATCTACCCGCCCGCCTCTCTCCTGGTGCTGGGAAGATCCCCCGGGGTCTCGGTGTCTTCTCTCCCGCAGAAGTCCAGGGTCCTCGAGAGCCCGGCCTCCCTCTCTTCCTTGCTGCCCACCGCCCTCCATCCCCCGAGGGCCAGAAGCATCTTCCGGACCGGGCTGCTGTGCGTTGCCATTACCCTTTCCGAAAGAGCACATCAAGTGGTTGCCAGACCTCCAAACGACCTTTAGGGCACCCCTAGACCTCAACTCCATCTTGTCCCCTCGAGGTCGCTCTGTCTCCGAGTGCTCTGGGGTCCCTCTGGCCCTAGCAGCATCCGCCCTTCGTATTTGAGGGATGCCCTGGCTTCCGATCTCTTCTTAGCTTCCGTATTTTTAGGTGCGTTAGAAAACGGCCGAATTCTAGCAGAAGCGTGCTCTTATTTTTTCCCTATTCCGTCTACATCCCTGTCCTCACGAATGCCTTATATTTAGCATCAGCTTCATTCACTTCCTCTTCCTCTCATTTGAGGACCCTACAGAAAGAATTGCGGCTGATGTCTATAGCACATAGAAAAATCGAGGAGAAGATGATTCATTGCCTAACCCCCATCAAGGGGTTACATATTTTAAACAGGACGTCATATCTTCTCGCACTCCAGCATCTCCTCCTTCAAAGGCATTTCCCCACCCTCTTGAAATGAATTTTGCTCTAGCCTCTCACCTTAAAAAAAATCAGCCATGGCTCCAAGAAACGACGGTGAGATGGAGAATAAGGGCAAAATGGCATTTAAAAAATGAATCCCTTTGAAAAAGTAAGCAGGGTGCTTTACTGGTCAAGTCCTTAATCAATCCCTCAGTTTCTGCATCTACAAAAATGAAGATGTTGGACTAGAGCACAAATAAGGTTCCTCTAGTGTTTTGATTCTAGGACCTCTAAATTCATGCTTAGTTACATGTTCCTGTGTAACAGAGATTTAACCTAATTAAAGTCCCATTTCCTGGTAGTTGCTCATCACTTTAGTTTTTCTTTTATTCTGCCTTTAATACTTTTAACTGTTCTTGATACCTAAGGCTGCATGCAGTGGGAGATTCAGTTACAGGACCATCAATGAGGAAATCAATCAAGCTTTTTATAGCATAAGGCTTCTTGAATTGTAAAATAGCTCTCTTTTTTGATTGAAGCTACTAAAGTGTAAGACATGTAAGATCCTCTCCACCATTTAGGTGGAGGATGGAACATTAAGCCATTAGCATCCTCGCACCATAGAATAAAGTACCATATTGTTCTGATAAGTAATTTGACACTTACAAATCCATGAGAAGGTATACTGCAACAATTAAAAGCTTTTCCCCTAAAATCCCTATTAAAAATTCGTGATTCAGATTAACATTTTTGTTTGTGTTTTGGGTACGGATGGGATGGGTGGAGAAATGAGAGTCTTGCCCAATTCAATTTAAGAGGAGAAATGAATTGGGACTCTGGAGAGGTTCTGGATCCAGCCCTAGCTACTTGTATAACCTTGAATAAGTCACTTAACCTCTCTTGGATTTTGCATCTGTAAAAGCCTCTTGATGGTTGGCAGAGTGAGCCATAGGTCCCCTGATTTGAATTCTTTGTTCTTATACTGATAGACATATGATTATATGATGTAAGTAGCACTAACATTGTGCCCTAAGTCCTTAGTTTATAACAGTTGTTGAGAATGTTTTTCTCAAACATCTGCATATGCTTGTTCCAATTTATGTGCGCCTAATTCATAATCCATCTTATCAAGCGAGTTCATATATGTGGAAGTCTATAAATTGGGAGGCATTTTACAAAAGTTGGGTATTGTTAACTTCTTGCGAGTGAAATGTGTGCATAGCACACTTTTTAAAAAGCATTCATGTCTTATAGAAATTTGAAAGTGAATTTATACTTACTGCCTTGCAACTGTAATTGGCTAGGAACTTTAAAGAATATGCTGGTATCTCATTCATTCATCACTCATTGAACTTATCTCGTTCCTTCAGCTGTCCCTTATTTTGTGCCAGGCCACCAGGATATGATGGTTAAGAAAACCCTCTTCACAAGTTTATAGTCTGGAATGGTTGTGGTGGCGCTGTGAAGACATAGATGTATATACAGTTTATATTTATTAACAACAGCATTCAAATCAGGGACATAAAATCCTGGGGGAACTTAAACCTTCATAGGGGAGGAGGAGATGATTGTATTATGGATTCTCTTCCTGGAATTCCTTCCCTCCCCTCTTCCTTGACTTTTAATTCCTGAGATGTTAGCAAAAATAAAAGCTTTATTTTTCCACTCTTATCACTGGCTGGCATTATATATTCTTTTCTTTCTTTGTCTTTTAACTGTTCATTTTGAGGTGGCTATAGATTCTCATACAGTTGTAAGAAATAATAACCTTTTTCTAATTTTCCCCAGTGGTAACATCTGCATAACTGTAGTATAATAACACAACAAAGAAATTGAAATAGATACAGTTCATCCACCTGAATCAGAGATCACTGGTTTTACATGCACTCATTTGGGTGTGTGTATTTAGTTCTGTTCAGTGTTATCATATAGGTAAATTCATTTAACCACCTCCACAGTAAAGATATATTGTAGTTCCATCACCTCAATGATACTTGGTGTTGCCCTTTTATAGCTACAACAGTCTCCCTTGCTGGCCCCGGGGAAGCAACAAATCTATTTGCCATGCCTATAATTTTGTCATTTCAAGAAGCGTATATACATGGAATCAGACAGTATGAGCTATTTTTCACTCAGGGTAATTCCCTGGAGATTGATGTAGGGTCTCCAGTATCCAGTTCCTTTTCATTGCTGAGTCGTATTCCATGGGGTAGGTGTACCCCAGTCTCACCATTCACCAATTTTGAAGGACATCTGGTTGGTTCCTGGTTTTTTATTTTTACTTTTTCCTTTTTAACCTATTATAAATAAAGCTTCTGTGAACACTTGTGTCCTGCTTTCTGTGTGAACATAAATTTCCATTTCTTTGGGATACTTGCCCAAGAGTGCAGTTGCTGGATGTAAGGTAGTTACGTATTCCCTTTTATTGATTTATTTATATTTATATTTAGAGACAGAACACACGCAAGCATGAGCGGGAGAGGAGCAGAGGGAGAGGGAGAGAGAGAATCCCAAGCAGGCTTCATGCCCAGCACAGAACCTGACATGGGGCTCCATCCCACTACCATGAGATTATGAGTTTACCCAATCAAGAGTCGGACACTTTACCGACTGAGCCACCCAGGCGCCTGTATGTTTCATTTTAAAAGCAACTGCCAAATTGTTTTCTAGAGTGGCACTTTACATTACCACCAGCAACATATGGATACTCTTCATCCTTGCTAGCATTTGCTGTGGTTACTATTATTTTAGCCATTCTGATTGCTCTCTAGTGATATCTTGTCATAGTTTTAATTTGCATTTCCCCAGTAGCAAATGATGTTGAACATCTTTTCACGTGCTGAGTTGCCGTCTCTGAATCCTCTTTGGTGAAATGTATCTTCACATATTTTGTCCATTTTCTAGGTGGATTTGTTTGTTTCTTTACTGTTGAGTTCTGAAAGTTCTTTATATATTCTAAATACTAGTTCTTTGTTAGGTATGTGGTTTGGAAATATGTTCTCCAGTCTACATAGATTGTCTTTCATTTGCTTCACAGGGAGTTTCAAAGAACAAAAGTCTTTCATTTTGATGAGGTCTAGTTTATCAATTTTTCCTTTTGTGGATGGTGTCTTTGGTGTCCAGGGGTCTTGTTGTGCCTTTGTCCCTTAATTTTATTCCTTTCTGGTCTGCATAATATTCAGTATTTCTGTAAGCAGTGTGAACATTTTTCCTTTTCAGCAATCCTGGAGTTCAAATGCGTTCTGTGAACAAGTTGCCTTGATGGCTTCGAGTGTGAATACATACACATGCTCTTGCTATATTAAAATGGCTGCCATCTTTTGTGCCTTGAAAATATAAATTCTGCTTCGACCAGGCTGTGGAGTGTTAAAATTAATATTTTAAAATTAAAGATATGCTGACGTGCCGAGGCAATTTTTGGTTTCACTTTCTAAATTAAAACTGGGCAAAAGAGTATATATAATTTTTAAATCAGGGTTTCTGGTAGGTGATCCAAAGAACAAATTCGGGCTCTCATTTAAATGTACTTTAAAAATTCACTTCTATGTTCTGAGTAAGGTCACAAATCATGACCATGTACTTAGGAGGCTTTTTATACTCACTATTGATTATCAGAATAATTAATGAAAAGACTGTTGAATTTGTATGTCTAGACTGTTACTTTCCTTACGTGGTAGCAATTTAGTGTTCATTTTGTTTAAAAATAAGCATTAGCTTTTTAAAAAATTTTTTAATGTTTTATTTCTGAGAGAGAGAGAGAGAGAGAGAGAGACAGCCAGCGTGAGCAGGGGAGGGTCAGAGTGAGAGGGAGACACAGAATCGGAAACAGGCTCCAGGCTCTGAGCTGGCTGTCAGCACAGAGCCTGACATGGGGCTCAAACCCACAAACCGTGAGATCATGACCTGAACCAAAGTCGGATGCTTAACCAACTGTCACCCAGGCGCCCCAATAAGCATTAGCTTTAAGGTGACTTATAATTTGATACTTTGAAAAATGGATGTGCTCATATTATGAGAAGAACTTACAGGATAAAGTTAGTGATTAATTATGAGAGTATGCATTTCTGTAAGGTGGTACTGAAATTACTACTTGTCCCTTCAGTGTCACCATATTTGCTCAAAAGAGTAGACAGCTAGGGTAGTGGATTCCTATTTGATAAAGGTCAATCATTGATATAAGGCAAAGGCTGGCAAAACACTGCTGGTGTCCAAATCCTACCCACCACCTGTTTTTATAAATAAACTTCTGTTGGAACACAACCACATCCATTCACTTATGTATTGTCTGGCTGCATTCAAAATGTAACATTGGAGTCAGAGAATGTATAGCTCTGAAAGCCTATTTACTCTCTGGTCCTTTCCAGAAAAAGTTTGCCCAGAGATAAAGCAACCTTCTGAATGATCACGTCTCTGGGTTATAAAGGAAATTTAACAAACTTTACCTTGTCTTTTAGTAAGTTTTAGTTACACTTCTATGGGAAATTGTGGTTCGGAAGAGTGTCTTCATTTTCTTTACTATGTCTACAAGGCTTTGGGGTCTAGGAGCAGCATTAAAGAATGGACAGAGGGTTGGGAAAGTTGATTTTGTTGTTCTTGTTAAGTGGGCTATTTCAGTGTGATGAAAATTTTCGAAAGGTATGGCAACCAGTGAGATTCAGAGAGAGGCGCATGCCTTTGTGATGTCCTTTGGAGATCCTAACTATAAGCCAGAGTGGTAATGACAGAGCCAGGTACGGCAGTATTGCTCTGGTTACCAACACTATTCCCAAACCTTTAAATACATAGGAGTTTGAGTTTACCAAGCTGAACTTACACTGTTGGTTTACTGTTTTGTATGCATGGCTTTCTTTTGTCAGTTAGAAATTGACACTAGTTTGTTTTTTGTTTTTTTTTTTCCCTAGGAGAGAGAGAGAGACAGTGTGAGCAGGGGAGGGTCAGAGAGAGAGGGAGTCACAGACTGAAACAGGCTCCAGGCTCTGAGCTGGCAGTCAGCACAGAGCCTGACGCAGGGCCCGAACCCACGAACCGCGAGATCATGACGTAAGTGAAAGTCGGACGCTTAACCGACTAAGCCACCCAGGCGCCCCAACACTTTAGTTTTTTTTAAACGCCCTGTGGGTGATATTGAAAATGGAAATTGAGTTAGGACAATTTTCGTTTGGCTGTTGGAAAGAAATGGATCCCTGCCTCACACCATCTACAAAAAGAAATTAAGGATATAGTTTTAAACTTTAAGTGTATGTTTAAAAAACAACTTCTGGAAAGTATAAGACAACCAGAACAAAATTAAAATGCAAGAGACACACTAGGAGAAAATACCATTTACATTTGCGGCAGAAGCTTTAATTGACTTCTGCTTAACTGACCCACCACATTACATGATACTCTTCATTTCCTTTGTAAAATACACGGCACTGAACACTTGGGATTAGTAGATGGGTCTCCAGGGTGCCAGTATGCTTGAGGACCCACCATTAGAACAGAATCTATTGTTACTTAACCTGTGAAAATTCACAGATGATATGCTGTCTGGGATTGGCTTCCAATTATATGGGGGATGAGGTGGAAGTGCGGAGTGGATGGGGCAATAAAAGAGAAAATTCAGCACATGTGAATGGTTGTTGAAGCTAGGTGATAGTTACATTCAGGTCATTATAACAAAACGAATCCAATGTTTTGGAGACTTGATGAAAGCAAGTTACCGTCTCATTAGGTGTGGGTAAGACGATAAAAGATTTATGTAAAGTAAGTATAAAAATCTATGGGTTTCTTCACTCATAGTACTTTGTAAGTGTCTTTTAAATTCCTTGAAGTTCTACATTTTCTTCTAAGAGTTTAGTTTAAATTTCTTCACAATCAGTGGGCCTAGAGTTAAAGAAAAAAGGTTTTGACCTCTTGGCCCTCTATCAAAAGTTTGATGAGTGTACATTTACTACTGATGAAGTGAAGATAAAATGAAATGATTGTCATGTGCATATTTTTTGATTATCTTATTTGACCTTTTCTGTTAACTAATCAACTGTTTCGATTAACTAATCAACTAAATAACATTAGATTAAAAGTCTTCTACTGTATACTGTGTTTTCTTCTCTTTAAGTTGCATAAATCTTTCACCTTTTATTAAAAAGGCTTTTACTATATAATATCCATGATGTATAAAGAGCTCCTACAAATCAATAAGAAAAAGGCACACATTAGAGAAAGTAGCAGAGAGTTATGAATTGGCCATTTCCAAAAAAAAAAAAAAAGAAAAATGATGAATAAGAAAAAAGATGCTCAAATTCCCTCTAGTAATTAAGGAAATGAAAACCCTTTTTCACCAAATACATTGGCAAAACTAAATATAATATCCACTTTTAGCAAAGAGATGGGCACTATCATATGCTATTACTGAGAGTACAAATTGTATGGCTTCTTGATAAAAAAAAAAAACCCAAATCCTCTCATTTAAAAATGTACATATATATATTTTAAATGTACAGTATATTTTGACACAGCAACACTGTTAGGAAACTAGTAAAATACACATTATGACCAGTGAAAAGTTAACAGCAACCTGAATATCCATCAATAGGGGAATGATTTAAATAATAATGTGCTGTTCTATGGGATACCTCTAAACCTCTTTAGACCTATGTAAACTGACATAGGGGTTCCAAAGTACATTGTTGAAGGAGGGAGTCTGCATTATTCACATACTGTTATTCCACCTTCTTATGTGAATGGATAATATAAAAAGGTCGATTGATACATATCATGAGTAGTTATCTCTGGGGGAAAAGACAGTGTTGCTAATGGAAGGCAGTATAAGGGATACCTTTATTTTGTATCCTGTGTGATTCTCTAGTGAATTTCTAAATTGTGAATACTATTTTGATAGTAATTATACAGATTATAGTATGAAACATTTACACACTGGAGGATACTTATGATCCTGTTATTATGCCTTATATAATGACACTGTGCTAGAATTGTAGTGCATTATGTTTAGTGAGCACTCTGGTATTTTTTTTTTTTATAATTTCTCCCTTTGTTAAAGTACTATTTGTATTTTCTAAATTTTATGCACTGAGGGGTGCCTGGGTG